TCTTCTTAAATGCACATGGAACATTTTCAAGAATATACCATATGTTGGAACACAAAAGAAGTCACAATGAACTTAAATATTGAAATCATATCAGGCATCTTTTCCACCGCCATGGCATGATCAACTATCAATACAAGAAGAAAGCTGGAAAAATCACAAATATGTGGAGACTAAACAACATGCTACTGAACAACTGTTGGGTCAATGAAATCAAAAGGAGAAATCAGAAAATACCTGAACACAAATAAAATGAAAATGCAACATATCAAAATCTATGGGATGTAGCAAAAGCAGTACTTACAGGAATGTTTATAGCAATAAGGCCTACCTTAAGAAACAAGAAATATCTCAAATAAACAGTCTAACATTACACCTAAAGGAACTAGGGAGGGGAAAGAACAAAGTCTAAAATCAATATAAGGAAGAAAATAAAAATCAGAGCAGAAATAAATGAAATAGAGACTAAAAAAGGCAATGGAAAAAAAGTCAATGAAACTGTTTCTTTAAAGAGATAAACAAAATTGACAAACCTTTAACTAGACTCACTAAGAAAAAAGAGAAAGTGTAGATAAATAAAATCAGAAACAAGGAAAAATTACAGCCAATATCACAGAAATACAAAGGATCATAAGAGAATACTGTGAAAAGCTATGCATCAACAAATTGGACAACCTAGAAGAACTGGATCAATTCTTAGAATCACACATTCTTCCAAGACTGAATCATGTGAAATAGAAAATCTGAATATATCAATCACTAGTAGGGAGATGGAAACAGTAATCAAAAACCTCCTAAGGAATACATCCAGGACCAGACAACTTAATTGCTGAATTCTACCAAGCATTTAAAGACTTAATACCAATTCTTCTCAAACACTTCCAAAAACTAGAAGAGAAGGGAACACTTCATAACTCTTTTTATGAGGCCAACATTACCCTAATACCAAAACCAGACAAGAACAACACACAAAAAAGAAAATTACAGGCCAGTATGTCTGACAGACATAGATGTAAAAATTCTCAACAAAACATTAGCAAACTGAATACAGCAATACATTAAAAGGATCATACACCATGATCAAATGGGCTTTATTCCAGGGATGTAAGGATGGTTCAGTATCCACAAATCAATCAACATGATACAACACATTAACAAAAATGAAGGACAAAAATCATGATTATATCAATAGATGCCCAAAAAACAGCATATGACAAGAGTCAACACCCATTTATGATTAAAAAAGAAAAAAAATCAATAAAATGAAGGAGCATACATCAACATAATAAAAGCCATATGTGACAAACCCACAGCTAACATCATACTGAATGGTGAAAAACTGAAAATTTTTTCTCTAACATTTGGAACAAGAGAAGGATACCTACTCTTGCCACCTTGCCACTCTTACTCAACATAGTACTGAAGTCCTAGCTAGAGCAATTAGGTAAGAAAAATCCAGATTGGAAAGGAAGAAGTAAAACTGTCACTATTTGTGGATAACATGATTTTATATATAGAAAACCCTAAAGATTCTACAGAAAAACTATTAGAAATAATAAATGAATGCAGTAAAGTTGTAGGATACAAAATCAGCATGCAAAAATCTGTTGCATTTCTATACACTAAGAATGAACTAGCATAAAGAGAAATTAAGGAAACATTTCCTTTTACAATCAAAACAAAAAGAATAAAATACCTAGTAGTAAATTAATCCAAAGAAGTGAAAACTATAAGACATTGTTGAAAGAAATTGAATAAGACACAGAGAAATGGAAAGATAGTCCATGCTCATGTTACAAAAATTAACATTGTTAAAATATCCACATTACCTAAAGCAACCTACGGATTCAGTGAAGTCCCCATCAAAATACCAATGACATTTTTGATAGAAATAGAACAAAAAATCCTACAATTTGTATAGAACTGCAGAAGACCCTGGATAGCCAAAGCAATCTTGAGAAAAATGATCAAAGTGGAGGTATTACACTCCCTGATTTCAAATTATACTACAAAACTATAATAATCAAAACAGTATGGTATTGGCAGAAAAACAGACATAAATCAATGGAACACAATTGAGAGCCCAGAAATAAACCCATACATATATGGACAATTAATTTACAACAAAGGAGCAAAGAACATACAATGGAGAAAGGACAGTTTCTTCAATAAATTGTGTTGGGAAAACTGGATAGCACATGCAAAAGAATGAAACTAGACCCTGTCTTACACCATACACAAAAATTAACTCAAAATGGATTAAAGACTTGAATGTAAAACCAGAAACCATAAAACTCCTAGAAGAAAACGTAGGTAGTATACTTTTCACATCAGTCTTAGCAGTCTCCTTCTGGATATGTATCCTCAGGCAAAGGAAACAAAGCAAAATTAAACAAATGGGACTACATCAAACTAAAAAATTCTACACAGCAAAAGAAACCATCAACAAAATGAAAAGAAACCCTACCAAATGGCAGAAGATATATGTAAATCATGTATCCATAAGTGGTTAATATTCAAAACTATAAACAACTCAACAATTTTTTTTAAATTAAAAAATGGGCAGAGGATCTGAATAGACATTTTTCCAAAGAAGACATACAGATGGCCAACAAGCACATCAGAAGATGTTCAACATCACTAATTCAGGAAATACAACTCAAAACCACAATGAGATATCACCTCACACCCATCAGAATGGCTGTTATTGAAAACAATACAAGTGTTGGAGAGGAGATGCAGAAAAGGGAACCCTCATACACTGTTGGTGGCAGTGTACGTTAGTGCAGCCACTGTGGAAAACAGTATGCAGGTTCCTAAATACATTAAAAATAGAGCTGTCATATGATCCAGCAATTCGACGTTTGGGTATTTATCCAAAGCAAACAGAATCCCTATCTCAAAAAGATATCTGCACCTCCATCTTTACTGCAGCATTATTTACAATAGCCAGGACATGGAAACAAACTAAGTATCCATTGATGGGTAAATGGATAAAGGAAATGAGGTGTATATATATGCTATAGAACATTATTCAGTCATAAAAATAAAATCTTGCTACTTGTGACAACATGAATGGACTTTGAGCCCATTGTGCTAAGTAAAATAGGTCAGAGAAAGACAAATACTATATAATCTCACTTACATATGCAATCTAAAAATAATCAACTCATAGATACAGAGAACAGATTGGTGGTTGCCAGAGGCAGGAGTTGGTGCATGGGTAAAATGTGTGAAGGTGGTTGAAAGGCACAAATTTCCACATATAAATCCTGAGGATGTAATGTACAGCATGTTGATTATAGTTAATAATATTGTATAGTTGAAAGTTTCTAAGAGAGTAGATTGTAAGAGTTCTCATCACAAGAAAAAAATTGTACTGTGTGTGGTGATGGATATTAACTTATTGTGATAATCATTTCACAAAATATACACATATCAAATAATTATGTTGTATACCTAAAACTAATACAATGTTATTTGTCAACTATATCTCAATTAAAATGAAAAGCGTATGGAAAGTTTTAAATAGCTATGAACACTTTGTGAATAGGACAAGAAAAAAACAATAAAATAAAAGACAATTTTAGGTTATTTCAAAGAGTTAAAGTAATTAAAGAAGAAACTCAATCAGAAGTTTTAGGAAAAGATTCTTATGTGACTTACAATCTAAGTTGTGAAATTTTAGAAATAGACTAATCTAGTCCTTTTGTTTTCAAATGATGGAAATGATATCATTACCAGGTCAAAGTAACACAGCCAATTTTTGGAAGAGTATGATTTGAACTCTCATGAAATCTAGGCCTTCAGCTCTTTTTTTTTTTTTTAAGATGTTGGGGGTAGGAGTTTGTTAATTTATTTATTTTTGCTGTGTTGGGTCTTCATTTCTGTGCGAGGGCTTTCTCTAGTTTTGGCAAGCGGGGGCTACTCTTCATTGCGGTGCGTGGGCCTCTCACTATCGTGGCCTCTCGTGTTGCGGAGCACAGGCTCCAGACGTGCAGGCTCAGTAGTTGTGGCTCACGGGCCCGGTTGCTCCACAGCATGTGGGATCCTTCCAGACCAGGGCTCGAACCCGTGTCCCCTGCATTAGCAGACAGATTCTCAACCACTGCACCACCAGGGAAGCCCATAGGCCTTCAACTCTTTATTCCAGTTTCCCATGCTTTTCCACTGTTTATGTTTCTTATCTAACCACTTGGTTTAAAAGTGGCCTGAAAATTTACAAAGATCTTTGAAAGACCTTTCTACTTTTAATTGACACATTATCTGGGCTTCCCTGGTGGCACAGTGGTTGAGAGTCCACCTGCCGATGCAGGGGACGTGGGTTTGTGGCCCGGTCCGGGAAGATCCCACATGCCGCGGAGCGGCTGGGCCCGTGAACCATGGCTGCTGAGCCTGCGCGTCGGGCCCCTGTGCTCTGCAACGGGAGAGGCTGCAACAATGAGAGGCCCGTGTACCACACACAAAAAAAAAAATTGACACCTTATCAGTGAATCAGTTAACAGCTGAGCTCTCTAAACTCTCCCCACTGCTGTTGAGAGACCTGTCTTACTTTAAAACTTATAGACTTCCTGAAAAGCTAGAGTTTAAACATCTCACTCAACTCATGAGTGCCTTATGTGTTAGACTTTTGAACATAGATATTACTATACTAGTCATTTTTAATATGCTATCTCATTGAATTCTTAGAACTGTAAGAGATATGAAAAAGTTGAAGTTAGAGGAAGAAGATAATTTGGCCAGTATTTCTTTAAAGTGGCTAATTTATTCTGATTTCATGTTCAGTGCATTTTTCAAATCCCCTGCACTAACCATTATTATAAAAACCTCAGCCAGAGTGAGTGCCCAATTTGTATAACAATTGGTGAATCTTTAGCTATAACAACTTTATTCCTAAAACAGTTGTTCACATATAAAGTACAATGATTGATCTTTGTTGTTGAATGTATTTAAACCGACTATCATTCTAATTTAGTGTTCATCAGGTTTCTCTTTCCTTCCAGGCCTGTATGTGGAATCAGAGGGAAAACTCTCATAATTAACTTGCCAGGTAGCAAGAAAGGATCTCAGGTGAGCTATCTTGAGATTTATATGGTTTAGTGTAAGAAATTTTGGCTACTGTGAGAGCCAAACAAAAAGTTGGAGCACTCCACAAGACTACCCTCACTTCTGACACCAGTTGCAGTTCAATGCCTTTCCCAAACCACCCTCAGTTTCAGTAATTCACAAGATGGATTCAGAGAACTCATTGAAAGGTGGTATACTCATGGTTATGGTTTATTACAGGGAAAGGATACAGATTAAAATCAACCAAGGGAAGGAGTACATAAGACAGAATAAAGGAGAGGTACCAAATGGAGAGCTTCTAATATCTTCTTCCTGTGGAATCATGAACACATTGCTCTCCTGGCATCAGTGTGTAACAACACAGGGATTATTGCTTATCAGGGAAGCTCTAAGCCCTTAGCATCTGGAGTTTTTATTGAGGCACATCATATACTGCCCATATACCTGTAGTCTCCAACACTTTCCAAAGGCAAAATTGATACCACATTTCCCAAAGCCCCCATCATAAATCACACTGTTAGACTGTCTGGTGGCCAGTGTTTCCAGACAAACAAAGACACTCCTTTCATTTCCCAGTAACTGAGGGCAAAGGCCAGACTCTCTTTGGGTAAGGTTAATTCTGTATTAACACAAGCTACCCGCTGGCCTCTGGCCAAGGCTTTCTTACAACAAAACAATCATATTTGTATGGCTGGCCCTCTATATTTAGTATAGCATGTATATTATAGACACAACATCACTAGCAGTGTGAATATGCCTAAGATGTGGAGGAGCCAGAGTGGGATAGGAGTAGATTTAGAGAAACAGGTAATTCATCCTCTAAAGCCATTATACAAATTTTCATATTTTTGTACTCATTTACTAATTTTCCATCTTGATCTACTATTATTTGTACCCTATGATACATTCTCACAGAGCTATTTACCATAGAAATTAGCTCTCTTGCTCAGGCCAATCATTTCCCATTGGTATTGCGTATTGAGGAGGCTTTAATTCAAATTCCCAGTATATATCACTATCAATATCAGCATTATAATCTTATTAACAATGCCTGTATTATAACATATCATAGTATATTAGTAAATATAACCTGAAAAATAAGAGTCAAAAGATACTGGCACCTTACTGGAGTCCTACACAGACATTAACAGTTATCCTAGTCGTCATCATATCATATGATCAAAACATGTCCCAGAGGAATGTTCCTCAGGTTTACAGACTTGTCAGGTTCCAAAAGCAGGAGTAGTTTCAGCAACATATGGCTTTTCCCTTTCTGGCATCTGCTACAGCTGAGCCAAGAAACAATATCATCTTTGTTCTAAGCTTCTTTTGAGACACCAAGGTAATACTGGATTTCCCTTGTTGCATAACTCATTTACTCATTCCTTTACCTTCAACTGCCATTCCTCCTTCTCTCCATTTATACTCAGACATTTCCTTTGAACATCTTTGAATGAGACCGTTGGTTTGGCCACTGGGCTGGCCCAGATTGCCATTAGTAATACTAGTTTAGCAAGTACTTCCCACTCAGTCCATTTCATTCATATAAGATAAGGTTAAGGTTACATAAGTACTGAGCTAGTAGGCAGTCTGAAACACCAGGCAATATAACTGCATTAACTGTCAAGCCCAATTTGACCAGATGGAGTAAGACATAGTCTATACCATCAGGCCCTTAGGAATTCTGACATAAAGATTTAAAAGTATAGTTACAGTTTGGGCTTAAGAATCATCCCTGCTTCTGGCACCCACAGTTGCAGCCCTGATCCTAGGACCATTGCATCAGGTAGAAAAGAAGAAAGTTGAGGTGATGTGGGGAAAAACGAAAAAGGTTAACCGTAAAGAGAAAATATAGTTGTACAAGCATCCTTTGCCATCCCCTCTTTCCAGAAAAGTAGAGGAATCTGTCTAGAAGGAACTCTCACTTAGCCTCCCTATTGTTGAGTGTGATCATACACTAATGAAGGCTTCATGACTATCTCCTCACATTTTAGACAACAAATATTTCAACTGCCCGTTTCAATTTTCTATCATATTTTTGCTCTGAGGATGAAAGTGTTCCTTGGCCTGAAGAAATGTGCCTCCATGGTCATTGATACAATATCTTCTGTTCTGGTCCTTTTATAGTACATTGAACACTTGCATCTACTCTGGGATAAGCAAAGCTCATACCAGAGTAAGTGTCTATACCTGTTAGGACCCATTTGTAGCCTCCAGGGACTAAAAGCATCAGTCCAACATGACAGCTATGTGTAGGACTTTTCCCCTGTGGAATTTGCTGCATAGCCCTCTGCCTCTGTATCTCTCTTTTTAGCAGACAAAACAGTTCTTATTGTCATTTTGTGTCTCAGAGTGTAAGAGGAATATATCTAGATTCAGCCCATCTCTGCATTGCTACAGACCTCCAGTGTCCACTCATTTCATGGACCCAGGTGGCCATGTCAAGCAAGTACACCAGGATATCTGCTCGCCAGTACCAATCAACTTCCAGTTCTGGAAGGGAGTTCTTCTTGTGGGCATTAACATAATCTACTTTAATATACCCCTTACGTTCCCAGAGTGATTTCCACAGGGCCATGTCCCATACAGGTATTCCTTTAATAGACCAGTTTTCCATTGCCCATCTGCCTGACCATACGGCCAGGCCATTTGGACACTTCCCGTGACTCAGTAAAAACCCAAACATAGGTGCAAACATGTAGTTCAGCCCATCGAGCTGATTTGTTTTTACCTTCTTCAATCAGAGTGGCGGCCTTCCAAACAGGATGCTGTCCCTTCACCTTGGAATTGCCATCCATAAACCAAGCAGCTCTTTGTTGATCAATAGAAAGCTGTTTATAGGGCACCGCCCAAGTGGCCCAAGTGGCCATAGGATCCAGCAGCTCCTCAGGTGGTTCCGAAGTCAGCCCTAGGTGAAAAGAGGCTGCCTGCTCGTGAGTACCTCCTTGCATTCTCCTGGTAGCATGATTCTATATGCAACATTTCCATTTTATTATGGAACTCTCCTGGGCATTGCCGTTCCCATTAGAGCTTTTCTCTGAAATTACCCAAGACCTTTTGGATATTTCAGGTTTTAGGATTATTTTGTGTCCTTTAGTTATAAAGGCAGTCTCAGTTAAAGTCAAATAGCAAGTAGTAATTGTCTCTCAAATGGAAATTTTGTGGTCCAAAATCCCAGCAGTTGTTGGGTGGCACTCACAAGTTTTTGCTATAAGCCCAGTCTGCACTCCACACAGGGCTTTTGTACAGCAAATTAATGAACTGTGTGGGCCCATTTAGCATGTCCAATTATATTGGTGGAAGAGTGGATTTACATGCCTGCGGTTTTACAATATGAGGTAGAGGACGAATTCTCCAGTCAGACACAACATCCATGCCCATAATACATTCAGGTAAAGGAGATTCACCACTTCACATAAAGTTCACTTTCCAAACATTCTGATTCTTATCCAAACATTCACCTTAATCCCATCAACTATTGCATTCCTATATCTTCCCATTCTAACTGTACCCCCTCCCCCATTAGGATTTCAACAGGTTGTAGAATCACAGTACATGAAGCTCCCATGTCAAGGAGTCCCAGAAAAGTCTCTTCTCTGTCTCCTGATGATTTTAGCCATTTATGTGCATATGGCCTTGGAGTTTAAGGCCTGGGTTGGGTCAAGGGATCCAGACCCTTTTGTCAGACCTTATATTGATTAGATTATGGGTCCATCACTTAAGGTCATTCAAGGTAAGGTTTCTTTGCTTCCTAGCTTTTTTAATTCCTCCAAACCAGGGTAAATAGAGATTTGTTTAGGACCCCTTAATGTTAGGAGACCAGCAGGGTCTCCAGTCTGTATTCAGCCCACAGCAGTGCTTCTTTAAGATCTCTGTTTTGTCCCCATCAATGCTCACTTTTTTCATACATTTCTTAATAACCATTTAAATATTTCCACCCTGCTAGGACAAGTCCCTTGAATCTCTTATTTCTTTTCCCCCATTTTCTTATGAATCATTCCAACTTTATTTACTGTTTATTGCTTCAAAATAAATTTTTCCTTGGGAAGCAGCTCTGAGGCTAGCAGCTATATATATGTCAGACCATTCAGAATCCAAACTTGGCCCAGCCTCAGGATCCACCCCAACATTCTCCATTACTTTTGTTTTAGCTAGTACAGATACCATTAACCAAGAAATTGTGTGTTTACTTTGTTTTTTATCATTTTGCATTTCTTATGCTTTGACATAACTCCTTAGGAGTTAGATCTTTCATTTTAAAACTTCATTGCTAATTTTATCTCCAGTAACTAATTACAGTACAGCTGCAGTTCCATACTGTGGGTAACCCTGTGTTCATCTAGGCTCTAAAGATTCGTTATCTGCCACCCTCTCTTCCTTCCTCTTCCCAGATCACAAGTTTCAGTGAGTCAGGGTCTTTCTATCAAATCCCACTTCTGAACACCAACTATAAGGAGTTTTGACCAACTGCAGAAGTTAGCCAGCTACAACGTTGGAGCAGTCTATAAGACTGCCCTCATTTCTGACACCAACTGCAATTGAGGGGATTTCTAAAATCACCCTCACTTTTAATAATTTACAAGAAGGACTCACAGAACTCACTGAAAGCTGTTATACTTATGGGTATGTTGTATTACAGGGAAAGAATACAGGTTGAAATCAGCCAAGGAAAGAAGCACATATGGCAGAGTCTAAGAGAGGTACCAAACAGGGAACTTCTGGTCATCCTCTTCCATGGAATCATGGAAGCATCACCTCCTCTTAGCCACAATATAAGACAGTATACACAGAGTATTGGTAACTATGTACATTCTCCTTTGCCTTTGGTGTTCAGAGTTTTTATTAGGATTTGATCACGTATTGCCCACATGGTTGACCTTTAGTCAGCCATTCCCAGTTCTTTCCAGAGGTAAAACTGATACAGTGTTTCCCAAAGCCCTCATAGTAAACCACATTGTTAGACTGTTCAGTGGCCAAAGCCCCCAGGCAAACAGAGACACTCTTATCAGGCATGACATAACAAGGAACTAGAGATCACCTCCCAAAAGCTGAGAGTAAAGCCCAGACCTCTCTTTGATTAAAGTTAAATTCTTCACTATACAATTTTTTCCAGTAGGTTAAAAGATTAGATATCTTCCAGGTAGTCCATAAATTGTAAGATATTTCTTTACATATTAGATTTTAAGGTAAGTTACTGTAAATGTAAAAGAGAAAGACCTCTGCTCAAACATATTCCCCAAACATATCTGGCCTTATGTTCTGATTTTAAAATTCTCACCTATTTTCTTTTAGTGATACAATATAGGTAATAATGGATATATTTTGATCATTAGCTGCCTGTTCTCCTTGCTTGGCACCCTGCAATAAATGCTGTACTTTCCTTCACTGCCCCCTAAAACAAAGAAACCAAGAGACTATATTGACTTTTATGCTGTACAAACTTATACCTATTTTTACATATTGTACAACGTTGTCTAGCTATACTTTATGATTGTAGTCAGAACTTATCTCTCTGAATAAAATAGTTCAGTACTCAATTGGTTTGTTAGTTCTAGTATCCTCTCTAACTAGAAAGGTAAAAATTCTTATCTGCTCTCTCATAATATATCTTTAAGCCCCAAAGTTATATAGAAATTTTACTTAAAAAAATATATATATACTGTGTGCTTATATAGCGTAGTTCTTCAGCTTATGGAGAATACCGTAATATATACCATTCTTACTTCATATTTTGCATTGCAAAGACAATACATTAAATATGATTCATTCTTAAGACAGATGGAGAGAAAATCACAAATAAATGCAAAATCACAAACACATTTGATTGCTGCCATTTTGTATGCCTATAAAAATGCTTTATCTTCATTTTTTTTCTTCCTCTTGCATACAGGAATGCTTTCAGTTCATACTGCCAGCCCTACCTCATGCCATTGACCTTTTACGTGATGCCATTGTAAAAGTAAAAGAAGTGCATGATGAACTTGAAGATTTACCTTCCCCACCACCACCTCTTTCCCCTCCTCCCACAACTAGCCCCCATAAACAGACAGAAGACAAAGGGGTTCAATGTGAAGAGGAGGAAGAAGAGAAGAAAGACAGTGGTGTTGCTTCAACAGAAGATAGTTCTTCATCACATATAACTGCAGCAGCCATTGCGGCCAAGGTAAGCCTGCTGAGAGAGACCCAGAGATCTAAAGGACCCACAGGTAAATGTATTGATTTCATCTCTCTTTCCATCCCATTCTTCCATAAGTTAAATACCACTTCAGGGCATCCTTTAAAAAGAACGGGGATATTCATGACACTCCACAGCTATATTCCCTCCATTATGTAGAGTTCTTGAAAGCATTGAAGTTTTATTTTGAGTTCTGAGGCATTAAAAATTCTGCTGTTATCTTTTGAAGTAATAGCTCCAGTGATAAACAATGCGACATTTAAGAACTCTTTGAAGATGTCATTTTTGTGATCATAGTAAATATACAATGTTCATGTATTCAGAACATCAAATATTCACAAATTCTTAGAGGAGCACCAAACTGAAGGTAAGATACCTAAGGTGGTTCAAGAAATTAGCTGAGGAAGATTAATAAATAATTTTTTTAAAGACAAGACTTTTCAGCAGTTAAGTAGCACTTATTTAACTATTGGACACAAATTACTCCAGTCATAAAGAGAAGAAATGGATGTAAGATATTCATGTTTTTAATTTAATAAAGTAATAAATATTATTAAAATAGCATCAAAGTATTACAAGTTCTCTTTGAACAATTCTGGGAGTAAATATAGTACCATGAAGTACTTCAGTAAATTTAGTTATCATCTTAAAGTCACAGAACATGATTTATATTATTATCCATATCTAGTATAACCCACCTTGTACACTTCAAAATCTTCAGACAGTAGCATATCACTTCTGGGAGTAATGATTGTTCATTGAGAGTGTAAAGATTGAAAATCTAATCACTATATGAAGTAATTTTTAAAGTTTATGGCTCATCCAGATACTTTGGCTATGAGCATAGCATGAGAGGATTTTTTTGACAATGTATGTATTGGAAAGGATCATAGAGATCCTTTAGAAGTGTCCATTCAGACAACAAGTAGGTGGTTCTTTCACTGAAGATGGGATTATTCTGTCTCCAGATCCATTCAGTGATCCATTAAGTCCTTACTTAAGGCTAGTAAGTATTTAAGTTGTGTGTGAGGTTTGTTCTGTTTTTATGGAAATGATTGATGAAATACATTATTAAATCATCGTATGTTCTCTTTCTTTTACTCTTAATTAAAAGAGTTAAAAGTACCATCAGTTTCAATCTTAAAAAAACTTGTACCATTTGAAATCTAAGCTAATTTTGTCATTCTTCATTTGAAAATTTTTGACATTCCATTGTTCCATTTGTTTTCACCCTTTTTCCTTTCCAGTCATTTTGCTTGTATAGTTTCATGTTTTCCTGTCACTATATTCATAGTTGTTATGTGTTGTGCATTAGAAGCATCCATTCTACACCAGTCCTGCTGTTATCATGGCACACGGTGAGCAGCCCATCCCTGGTCTCATCAGTTATTCCCATGATGCAACAGGCAGTGCAGAGGAACCGGTAAGACAAGAGGCTTTTGCATTAATGATTTTGCAAGCATACAGGCTACCTCCTATCCTTGGAGGTAGGCTATAGCACATGACGGAAGATGTGTTTTATTCTGAAAGACCTTCACTAGTGCTTTTTTGTGAAAGTGTAAGTGCCACTGAGTATCTTCCATCAAGGAATTTAATAGAGTTTCTCCTGTACCTAAAGTACTCTAACATCATTAAGATTTTGTAGTATGTGGCAATGAACTTTCATCACATGACTTTCAAGAAATTCATTGCTCAGAAGTTATCTTTTTCTTTAGTAATTTCATCACATACCTTAAAATAAATTGCCTAGCTTAATTAAGATAATCCCTTAAGCGGATCACATTAGGTTTTAATATCCAAACAGATTGGTCAAGATAATATTTAATTTGTATTAATCTTGCTTTTTTTCCTTATGATTTTGCATCTTTTTTTCTTTTCTTTCACTATGTTCTCATTACAACCATTTAGAAGTTGAGTCTTTGTACAAGTTCTGATATTACTGATCTTCATATAGAAACTTTTAAGGGTGTTTATCACTTCTTTCAGTCATTGGCTGAATGATACTTTGTAAAAAGTGTCAGGCTAGGAAGGATTAAACTGATAAGTATAGCTGAATAAGCAGTGACAATTTAGACCATGGCTGCAAAAGAAACCTCAGTTCCTGATATGAATATAAAATGAGAAGGAAAAATAAAAATAAGTAATAAGTGTAATTTTGTTTTTAATCCTTAGGAAGAAAAAACACCCAGGATTTCAGGGGGATGCAGGGAGGAAAACTAGTATCAGTCGACCCTTGGGAGCTAAACTACCAAATGATGACTTTAACGCTTATATTCAACAAGCCATGCCTGGTTGGAAACAAACTTAGCTGAGTCAAAGGCCAAGTAGAAAATGTAAATATTGATTAATAAAATTATTAATGAATTCCAGTTGACAACTGAATTCTCCAGCTATAGCTTTGCTATAACTTATAAACATTCCAAAGTATACCAAACTGTCTTTTGTATTCTCGTATTATAAAGCAACCACAGCAACTACAATAATTACCCTGGTTTTCAAACTAAAATATTTGGAAGTTTCGTATTCATAACCAAGCTTTTAAGTTATTGTATTCTGAGTTTCATATTACTACACGGAAAATGATTTGAATAACTCTTCAATAGTTAGTTCCTAGTTATCTGAATACTGGTTATTGCCAAACTGATCAACTTGCTTTTTCAGGAAACAAAGAGGCCTGAGAAGTGCTTCTCATAATGGATATTTGTTAGTTGCCTCTCCAGCAGCCATTTTCCATCCCTCTTTCTAACACTACACTGCATTTCCCTGTCATATAGTTTGGGTGAGATTGACTAATCCTCCAGGGTAGGTGGCTTAGTATAATCAGCATATCTATTTCACATAACCACAGTTTTTAGTTCAAGGAACGCATAATTCAGGTCAATAGGAGCAAGTGGGTCTCATCTCTTAGATTTTATTTGAATGACTAGGAACATAGACTCTCTGTTTCCTATTGAATATGAATGAGGAAATATACAACTCGAAGAATTCCTATCTTGGAACCATGAAAGTAATGCCTGCCAATAATGGAGCCAACTGTAAAGAAGCACTCCTAAGAAATGGGAGAGAAAGAGAGGTACTCGGTCCTGTCACATTTTTCGACCACTTACTCCAGCCCCTGTTGAACTATACCTGTCTCTTGATTTTTCAGTTACCTGAGCCAATACGTTACTTTGAAAAAGCTAATTAGAGATAGAGATGGGTAAACTGTTGTCTGCAACCAAAAAGCATCTTGACTAATAATTCTCAGTATGTAGTGTCTCATCAAAGAGCTGAAAAGACTTCCTTGTAATAACTGAAACATATCAAATAGGAATCCCTGAAGTTTCATATTTGAGTGAGAAACCTGATTCAAGAGAACAGAGAGTAGGGGCGTGTGACACACAGAAGGAAAAAAGGAAAAATAAATCTTGCCCCTCTGTGATTACTAAATAAGTGTAAAGGTCTTTTCAAGGAGACTGGATCCAAACCTGAAGAAATTACAACTGTACTTTGCATAATGCTTGTATTATGCTTGCAAAACTCCAAGCATAGGGGCTTCCCTGGTGGCGCAGTGGTTGAGAGTCTGCCTGCCGATGCAGGGGACACGGGTTTGTGCCCCGGTCCGGGGGGATCCCACGTGCCGCGGAGCGGCTGGGCCCATGAGCCATGGCCGCTGAGCCTGTGCGTCCGGAGCCTGTGCTCCGCAGCGGGAGAGGCCACAACGGTGAGAGGCCCGCGTACTGCAAAAACAAACAAACAAACAAACAAAAAAAAACAAAAACAAAAAAAAACTCCAAGCATAATGAGAGGCAAGGAGGAATTTAAGACAAAAATAGCCATGGAGATACATAATAAGAAATCTTGTCTTACTGACAGAAATTAAATCTTCTGGAGAAGTCCCATATAATAATGATGGTCCCCAAGCTCCACTGGATGCAAGAAAATCTGCTGCTTGCCCTGGGAAGAAAGAGTTGCTGATTTCCTTTTGGGAAAGAATATGGAGAAAACAAATATGTTAGATTGATACGGCCAGTCAGGAAGTGTCTGTCTTCCTAGGGCATTTATTTGGAACTTAAGAGAGAAAATGCTAAAAGTTAGCAACCTGCCACTCTTATAGATTTGCCTGGAGATAAATGATACCATTACAAAAGACCAGAAGCACTTAAAAAGTTTCGGTCAGAAAATTGAAGAATATACATATTTATATATATATATGGTTTTATTGTTTCTTCCTATCCATGATGATTTTAGTATATTAAAATAATATTAATTGTCAGTCATTCTTCTAAACATTTTACATATACCAACACTTTACATACATTGTCATTTTACCTATGAGAAAATTGACACACAAAGAGGTTAAGGACATAACCAGCTAGAGACTAAACTGGTATTCAAGTCCAGGCAGTCTGGCTCCAGAATCATCACTCTTCACCTCTCTGCTATAGCAGCTCTCAGTGCAAGAGAGAAAGAAAAAGAATGATGTTATGGGAGATGACTAGCTAGTTACAAATTCTTCTAAAGAATGAGAATTAGGACTTTTGGACCTTGGTTTGGAATACTTGAACGATAAAATGTATTGCACAACCTAAGAACTGTGAACAGTAGGCTATATTTACTCTGGAAATTTGCTGGTCCAAGCAGCAAAGCTTTAAGCTATAAGCACAATTGGAGTCAGAAATATATTTAGATAAATCCATGAAAACAAATACTTCGGAGAACACAGTATGATATGCATTAAAGGATAATATTTTTAAAGGTTGAATCATAAAATTCATAGAAATATATAATAAATGTGTCAATTATTTTATTTAATTAATTAATGAGAGAACAGTAAGCTGTTAAACCAGTTCAAAGAAAAAAAATCAAAGGACACATACACATATCAACAGTCACAAAGACTGGGATGAATTTATAAATAGATACAAAATTGGTCAGTATACACAGGGCAATAATCAATTGTTCCTTCTCAAGACAAAATTTACTTGCATTTCTGTAGACAATAATTTGCATTAGCATTAGTTTTTTATAACTTGCAGAGTTGTAAAATAGTGAAAGTAAAAAGTGCAGGTAACCCAGAAGAGTATACAAATCAGGACATTTAATAATCTTTCTTGCCCATTTTCTTGACAATTCTCTACACCCCCAATCATAATAATCTCATAATGATTTTTGTTGCAAAAAAATGGCAGATCTCATTAGTTTGGGATTGATTATTTATTTAGCTGCAGCAAGGTATTAATTAACCAGGTAGCTTCTCTGAGTTTGCTTTGCAAATACTGAGGCTGCAAAATTAACTTCTGTCTGGAAGTTTTCATAGGGAATCTCAGATTTTACTTTTAAAAGTTTCTATTTTTGCCATTCCAAGTTTAGGAAACCAAGCCCCAAACAATCTCTTCACCCTATTTCACCTGCAGGTACCTGTTACTGGGTGAATTCCTCTCTTCTGCAGGTCACCAAAAGTTCATTACCATATATAAGTGACCTTCCTTAACCACATGCAAGGCTGAGACCCTCTACTTCAGGTACCAGGTCATTTTTCCTGGGAGGGCTTTATAGGTATTAGCTTCGTGAGTACAGCCAGTCTTTGTTCTTCGGAAGTGGTAGACATATCTGATTAAATGGGCACCATTCTCAAACATGACACAGGTAAGTCCTTGGTTCCACCATCAGTTTGTCCAATTATATCCTGTTAAAAAGGAAGACATTCTTAATAAATCTATGGAAATCACTATATTGTCAAGAAAAGTTAGCAGACCTAGTAAGAGTTTCTGAATTCTGAGGGACTCAGAATCAAATATTTTTAGTTTTAAGAAATCAGGATGTACGGAATTGTGTGGGTTATATATAGATTGAGAAGAAAGAAGAAATTTCTTCACATACCCTGAAAATAGAACATTTAAAACATCAATAATATTCCAAACAAATAGCCAGGAAAAAATTCTTCTGTTTACTCAGTCCTATGTAATTAATTCTCGTTCTACTAGATCTTAGCAGTTTGCTTTCAGGAAGCTTTCAGCTTCTAGACTAATGAGAGTTTTGGAAATACTAACCCAGTCCACTATTATAGTCTAAAAGTTATCTAAGCAATATCACTTCAGCAGTCTGTACCCAAGAATATATTCTTTGAAGTGTCAGTAGTTGGAAGTATCTGGTACAGTTCTTTCTGTGAGGCTTGTGAAACTGTCCTTCTTGTTAAATGCACAAGCTCTGGTCTGTAGCTTACAGCATAACTTTTAGGTAAGCATCAAAATCCATCTGTAGATGACAGGAACTTAATAGCTGTAGTTATTAACTGTAACCAGTAATAGCAGAATGGCAGGGAGTAAAATTCTCTATTGAGGGATGGAATATAACTATTTCACGAGTTTTTAAGCAGTACTTCCCCTTAGAGTAAAACCATTAGGGACTGGGGGTAATTGACAATTCTCCAGGGACTTTACA